CCTCGGAATGGACGCAAGCCAGATACTTGCCGTCGTTGCTGAAGGCGACGTAGAAGCAGCCTCTTTCGCTCACTTCCGTCTCGAACATCTTCTCATTCGGAATTTTGCAAGATTGAGCCGCTAATCGCGCCCATTTAGGGAGACCTATCGACTCCGACGTACATTTTGAAAGATTCCGCAAGTCGTTTTGTGATTCATCAAGGAGATCGTTTATTGGCAGCTTTTGATAAAGCACTGACTCGAGTTTTGGCGGTGGAATTGACGTCACCGTTACCAGGAGACTGCTGGGATACTTATCTCTATTGTTCGACTGCCACCAAGTGTAAACCTGTATGCAAAACAAAAACAGTAAAAGTTTGTCCAATATGACATTGTTATGAAATTTTACGCGTAAATCACCCCAATAAAATCTTAAAGTTCTTCTAGTCGTTCGCTATAGATACGTTAGTTTTACAGAAAAAGTGAAAATCGCATTCTGAAGATAAAAAGTTAGTACGATCCTTCTTTTTTTGGCGTGATAAATTATATTCATTGTTCATTACAGCCAACAATAGAATTCAATGTAATATCTATGCCAAAAGCTTCTATCTGGTTTTTTTTTAAAGAACCTAAATAATAGAGCGACGATAAAAGACAACACGATACTCGTTGTGATCTGCAAACTATCCTGTAATCTATTTATCCTAAAAATTTTTCTCATAATTTTTATGCGAATTGAAAAAAAAAAAACATTTTAAAAAGTGATGAATCAAAGCGGAACACAAAGACAGTTTTTAGGAAATGTATAGAAAGTGGAAAAATTGGCAATGCCAATTTTTGACAAATGCTAAAAAAAGAAAGAAATTTGCTCAAGTAACAAAAACAGTAAATACCTCGCACTTTTGTCTTCCGTATTTTTTCAGGCTCCGTCTAGGTTTGTAAAGTTGCAATCGCACTTTTTTGTCCGTATGAAGAATGCTATTAGTTCCTACGGGCTTAAGAAAGGCCCAAGCGATTTTGTTCCAGCATCCCTCGCTACCTGAATTTTCAAACGTGAATTATTAGATTTTTTAGCAAGCAAAAAAACTCAATGCAATTCTGAACAAAATTATAAGAGTTCTTAAATATTGCAACAGATATTATATAACAATAACATTTACAATCGAATAATTTATTTAACTTTCTAGCTCTCGCAATATCAACACATCTCTGTTCTTGAGAACTTAATTATTGATTATTTAATTGTTATCGTACTTTCAAAAGCGTGTAATTTATATGTTAATCACTTGACGCAAATAAAATAATTAATTTAGAAAAAACGAAAAAATAAACTCTTTCATGTAAAATTGCATTAAAAAAAGACAACTAAAGTAATTAATCCTCATGCATTCTCATTATCATTTTTCTAACAAACTAGCTAGATAGATAATATACTTGATAAGATTTGAGCAGAAATTTTACCAATTTTGTCATAACTGATGCTCGCGTCGGCGAAGCTCAGGAGCTCTATAATTTCGAAGAGAATCACCACTTGTTCGCCATCCACGCGTCTCATGATCGCGTCGAAGTTGTGTTCAAAGATGAGCTCCTCTTCCCAGACTGGTATCATCGACCTATTCTTCTTGAAGTCAAACTTGCCAGTGATCATCGGTTGAAGATACGTACCGCCGCTCTCTGTGCTCTTCAGATATGAACCCGTATGAGCCTCCACGATATGAACCCTGACCATCGGTCGCCTTACGCTCACGTAATCGGCTTCCAGCACGTCCGCCCGGTGAATCGTTACGGAAATAAATTTCACCTCTTCCTTCTCCTTCGTCCCCTTTTCCTGTTTACGTTTCTTTTTCCTCTTCCTTCTCACCCTTGTATCTGTCTCTGTCATCGAATTAGCATCCCTCGCGGATGAGCTGAGGAGCATGTCTTCACCGGAAGGCTCCTTCTTTATGAGCAACGATCGCTCTCTCCTTCTGGATCGATCGCGCATCATTTCCGGTTTCGACCTCCGGCTGCTCGTGACTCGTTTCTCGGAGGCGATCGAGCCCGATCGAACATCAGTGATCCTCTCCAGACTCGCCGACGAATCGAATTCCCCAGCACTATTCCTTTGTCTTTCCGAAAATCTCGCTTTCGAAGAACGATCGTCGCTTTCCACCGCGAGACGTTCGCTCATCACCGATTCCTGTTGATGCCTCCTCGAAGAGCCGCTGGACGTAATTCCAGCGTCGTCCATGTCCTCGACGTTCGTGCGATCGCTCAGTCTCCTCATTTCAATCTTGGTACTCTCTCGATTATGATCGGTCTCGATCCGGAGCACCTCGTCCTCGTTATCGGACACGAACGCCGGATTGTCGAAGAGGACGGCGTCACTTCGCCGCAAGTTGGTTCGCGGTGCTGGTACCGGTGTCCTTTTACGCGAGTCTTCGATCAACGGGGATGCATCGTCGCTCGTCTCGGGTAACCGGATCACACCGGCGTCCTTGGACCAGCGTTTCCGCGGTGCTCTTTTCGAATCTACTTCCGTTTCGTTCGCCACGGTGTTCCATTGCTTCCTGCGCCGCGGTTTCTCCTCAAGAGACTCGTTTCTCTTTCTCGGAGCCTCGAATTCCTCTATCAGATCCAATGATTCCATCATCAAATCATCATGTTTGGGAAGATCCTTCGAGGAACTTCTGCGATCCGAGGAACGATTCCGAGGTCTTTCGCTCGCTCGCGAAGAAACTTTGGAGCTTTGGGAAGATCGTTCGGAAGATCGTTTAGTCTCCTTATCGATATCATTTTCATTGTTTTGTCGCTGTTGGCTTGAACTTTCACCGGCATGGTGAACGTCCACGATGACGTTCATCGTCTTCGGTGACATCGCGTTCTCCGTCGACTCATCGAAGAAAGAAGAAACGTTGCGCGATCTCCTTAATCTTCTGCCTCTCGTGGACTCCGCGGACTTAGCCATCTGTGCGACTTCGGGTTTCTTGAGGCTGCAACTGACGCTCACTGTTAATAGAAAGAAGGTCGTCTACGAGAGAATATCGCGTGCGCTCCACTTGTGCGAGCCGATCGATCACTCGTGAAACTTGCGAATACATTCAACCGTGATATCATCGCAGCCCTGAAGAAAATAATTCTGTCCTCGTTGTAATCTTCATTAATATTCACGTGCATATGTAGACTTAATTTACTCGCGATGTATAAATTCTACCTAACTACGTTCGCCATGTGAGGAGAACCGTGTTACTAACTGACGGCACACCAGGTGTGGGAGTGATTACGTTCAGCAGTAGCATGGATCGATCGATACGGGAACGACGGCGGCGACCACGAACCCAGAACTCAAGTCCTTCATACATTTCCTCAATTTTTGTGCGAATTAATCCTGTCTTTCAATCTACAAAATACTGTACTTGTACGATCAAGTGGGATGAGATAAAAAATAATTTTTTCCACGATCGAGCTCCTTAATACACACTTCTCTCGATAAATTACTTTCATTTAGTTTCACCTTGTAATATAATCAAATTCATTAGCATCTTATTCCACTAAATTTCTATGATTTATAATTGCAAGCCGAGTTACTGATTTTTATCTCTTACCTTTCTGATCCAAAACTCGCCTTTCGATCTCCGGTCTAAATTAACTGTGGGCCGAATCACACAGGCCGAAAAAACTGTATTATCTTATATATTTAAATTTGTTTAAGCTGTACATCAGTGATGCACAATCTGCGGCCCTGTGAAGCGTTTGCGAATTGCCGGTTCATAGTTGCAAATATAAAAATCTGTTTTCTATTTTATAGCAAATCGAAAGATTCGACCTGTTTCTAAAAATGGACCTTATAAAAATAGTCTTTAAAAAGTTGCATGTCACTAGCGTGCATAATAGCTTTGCAAACTCTATATATTTTACCTACTTTCTCCATTCAAAATAAAATAGGTATATTCGCAACCTAAAAAAGCAGTCGGGAAGATAAACGGCAACAAAGGAAACAATAAATCCAAATTAAAAGTGATGTGACAGCTAACAGTTCCTTTAATGGTACTTATGATTCAGGCATGTACTAAAAAAATAAGAAAGAGGAGAAAATAAGTAATAGCACAATAACATGGCAACTTGCAGAATAGTTTGGGAACAATTGTCTGCAACTTTTGGCTTTAACGAATTAAATTCCCGTTTTTCCAATATTATTCGCTAAATTACAGTTATATTTGCTGACCTATTTATGGTATTATGTTGACCTTTTTACAAATTAAATTAATTATTTCATGTCACATTAATGTAGTAAATATAACTATAATATAAATAATAAAAAAAAGGGAAAAAGAGAAATGAAGGAAAAATAAAATGTAATTTTCAAAAATTTGTTGAATAATTATCTCCTTCATGGATTACATTATCTCATATCGCTTTATTGCAGTAAATAGTAAATTACAATATGAAAAAAAAAAAGAAAAAAGAAAGAAAAAATACAATTAAAAAAGATTTATTAAATAATTATTTGGCAACGAAAAGATCTGACTAATTAATCGATTAAGTTATAATCGCTTCGCAATTTTTTTTTTTCAATAAACATTTATCTTAGAGATTATTTTAAAGATAAATATGATTGAAATATAATTAGATCTGGAGATATGTATCCAGTAAACGAGAATAAATTAAAATGGATTAAAATTTTTTTCTATCCGAATGCGTATTTTAAATAGCGAATACTTTTTTTGGATTTAATTGGATTCAATTGGAAAAATTGCATTTCCTATTCAACATTTTGAATTAAACAGTATTCACAATGCACAGAAAAAGCTAATATATTATTTTTAGATTGAAAGGCACAGAGATATGCTCCATGCAATTCCTATAAATGAATAAAAATACATTTAAGTTGAAAAGCATTCATTTTAACATTTGTGAATTAATATTTTTGAAAATCTGAATCCATTTCAATTCATTTCTATCCATTCTCGTTTGCTGGGTGATAGTATCTCAGTGTTAAGCAAATTTAAACGTCACAACGTATATATAGATGATTTCGAATCTCATTGTGATTCCTCAATGGTACTTTTCACCATAGCATAATAAGTTTGAAGCACGTTGACAGCATCCTTGAGTTTGAGATGGAACAACTCCAGATCATTTAGCATAGAAACCAATAGTCCAGTAGAATTTATATCCAGTAGGATATCCGTGAGCTTGTGAGGCATAAAATTCGGGTATATACTATAAACCATCGGATATAAATGCTGCCCCAGTATCCGTCTTTGTTTCTTCCGTGACAATTGAAAAAATGTTGATAAATCAAGCTGCATATTTTGCGAATTCTGCGCGGGATTCATCATATACATATCTCTTTCTATTTAACAAAAAAAAAATTATTCTCTTGAAATGTATAATAATGATCAATACCTGTACGTTAATACAAAATAAATAGACATAATTTTAGTCATTGAGTAAATCGGTGTAATATAATTCATATAAATTATAAACAATTTACTGTTAAACATTTTACATTCTGTATAAATTTTTATGAGTCGACACAGTGTGTAAGTATATATTTTATTCAATAAGAAATATAAATCTATATACATTTCTCCCTCGGTTCGGGTCCTCTTCAGTAAATATAATAAAATGCTACGAACTAAACTAATATGAAATTATAAACGCAAATATTAAATCTGTTTGGTGTGGTCCATTCAAGTAGATATCAGATTTGTGATGAAATGTGGGAAGATAATTTCGCAAGATTCCCCGAATATATTTAATCCAAGCAGAATGACATCGAAGTCACAAATTTACTAAATAATAAAATTTTATGCAATATATATTAAAATTACATGTAACTGGTACTTATATGTAATTGTTACGAGGAAAAAGCATTCGAGAAACTGTCAGTACAAAAGCTAAATGTGTAATGAGACAATAATACAGAAAAATTGATCTATGTCAAGACCGTTGAAAAAAGAGGGAAATAATAAGTTATAATAAATAAAAATATGTAAAATTTAGAAGTTCCGTGTCGTTTTGTAAATTAAGACCATTCGTCTGTTTATGTATCCTTTTTGAGATTAGTCTTTTTTGTAAAATATGTTGTTTATCTAAAATTTTGACATTATCCTAATCAAACTCAAATGTGAATTCTCCAGTCTATGCTCTGTGATTACTGATCTCTGTGTCATGTTTCAATTAATATGTCTCCTGTGCTCGTTAATCCTCATTTTTAAAGGCCTGCTCGTTTGCCCCACATAAGACGCGTCGCAGTCTTTTGTAAATATTGATGTGAAACAAGACAAGAAGTTTATCCTTAAGTATCTTAATGAATTTTCATAGATTATTAAAACCTTTGTATATTAGTTTGAGCTCTTCTTAAAAAATCTCTTAATTTTTTTCCGATATCTTGAAGAGAAAAGGTATAATAAAATACCTGCATTTGATTTTACATTTATTTTTGCTGGTATTATTGGAATTGTGTTGGTTAATTTGTTCGAATTTTTTATGTAATCGTTTCTTAATGATATTGAAAATTAATCCTAGCGATATTATCAAAATTTTCTTTGTGAAATCTACGAGACAACAGGAGAACCCTATCTATCACCACATCCAATTTTCTGACTCAATGGATGTTGGGAAAAATAATTTAAATAGCGACCGGAAAAGATCGTCTTATGGTATATATCATATGTGAGTGCATTATCCTTTATTATGATCATTTTCATATTATGGTGGCTCATAAAGGCATTTATATCATTATATAGATTTATTTCGATTGAGTCTGATCTCACTATATGTTAACATTTTACATTATTACATTTGAACATTATTGGAAAATTAGTAGTGATGTTTAACATGTAACAGACAAAAATATATGATTTTGTAATAATAAATGTGCTATAGATTCAAGATTTATCGCACTCCGGCAAAACAAGTAGCACAAGTAAAAAATATAAAAATTGTTGTCAAGAGAGAGGAAAGAAAATTATGTATTTTAAAATATAATTCAGTAAAAAGTATAATGAACTCTCGAATTGCTCTGTATATTATTTTTTAGTCAGAAATTCTTAAAAATCACAGAGATCTTGAATTTTTGTAAACTATTACAACTGTACAATCGTAACCACTTTCAAATAAAATTATATTTCTGCAATTAAATTATTATATCATAAACAAAACGCGACAAAATGAAAGAATAGGCGTTTTTTTATTCACAATTTTTTGCTCCATTATTAGATTCCGACTTGTCATTAAAATAAAACATAATTTGGCTCGCATACTTACTTGTTGTGTAATTGCAAAGAAACGCAGAATTAGAAACAGGACGAGAAATGTTCTTGCTAAGCGTAAAACAAGTTGACTGACTTTAATTTGATCAAGTATTAGGAAGGATAGGGAGAAAGAATGCAAACAGGGATGTTTCATGAAACAATCCCGAAGCACCTCCTACTTTTTTATTTCTACCAATACCTGAAAATAGAAAGTAGAGGGGGGTCAAAATGGAGGGGAAAAAAGCAAAGCGGGAAAATAAGAAAAATCTGAGAAAAAGTTGAAGACAAAAGATAGAAAAGACAAGAAGAGCGACTTGTCTATATTATATAGAATACGTAAAAAAATCAGATATCTCGAGACACAGTATAATAGTGTCACAGTATAATAGTGGCATTAAGATAAGCGCAGCGATACTATAACAACATCAACTTTCCATCTATAATCTGGATCATTTTTTGGCGAAATTTTACTCTCAAATTTCACTCGCATTGTTGCTCAAATTTCAATTTTTATTAAATAAAGATTTTAACGTTTAAAAACTATTTGGTAATGTATGTGTAATAGAGATGTTGAAAAATAGCTCTAAATGTTTTTTGAAAGTCTAAAACATGTAAAAAACTTGAGCCGAAGACAAAAAAGACTCCAATTGCAGACGGAAAGAGTAAAAGTACGCTTGCAAACGATGAATTAATATTAAGAATACAAAATTATTATTTTAACATATATTTGGTTCTTTGTTTTTACAAAATTTAGTTAATTGTTTTAACAAAATACTTCCTCTCAGAATATTTATTTCTTATAATGTGTACTGTGATAATCCAAGTAAAGTAAGCAAAAATATCTTACAGGTATGTTAAATTATTCGCAATTAAATTACTTACATCAACTTACATAATTAGTTTAATTTATAATCGCACCGTTCTGCATCACATTGTTATTCAATTCAACGGTATTTGCTTCCGCTTGTCGCGTTAATTCCTGTAGTATAATAATAATCGATATTTAAAAATATATCTGCACAGAGTTTATCATTAAGTGAAAAAAATCCCCTTACCGCATTAATTATATTTTCGTATTCCTGTTCGCATTGCACTATCAGTGCGTTTTTCAAACCGGCAGAAGATTCCTTAGACTCTTCCCGTTCATCTGCTTTCAAGGAAGCATCGGTAAAATCTGACTCGCCATGCATCTTCAAAGTCCTCATTTTCAATCGTTGTTCCCTATTTTTTGCTTCTATTACCTTCTCACGACGCGTTTCACGATCGAAAAGCTAAAGAAACGATTATAACTCGACAGTATTATTCGAATTATAATGTCAGAAACAATAATTTGCAAAACGTGCAAATATTTTTCTTACGCTATACATTGAGATAAATTAAAAATAAACTTATTTCGCTCATTATATCACAGATCATTTATCAAGATGTGTTATCTAAAAATTTCTCTTTTAAAAGTATATTAAAAATTCAAAACTAAATAATTAAAATATAATAAAAAATAATTAATTATATATAATAATATTAATAATTATTATTAATTAGATATATCATTAGAGTTGATGTAGCAAGATATTCTTTTACTCTTTTTTATAGTTCTAATAGGATAGACAAAAATACATTCTTTATCAATCTACTATTTACCGCGGTTAATAGCAGTTTATCGTTCTTTTGATTGACCGTTAAAGCCTCCGAAAATTCGAGCAGATAAGTCGAGCCCTTTTTATTCGCTACTGCAGCCAGTTGACCCTGCTCATGCGGTCGTAAACAGGTCAAACTTTCGTCGCAGACCTTCGAACAAATTATATATTTAAAATTTATTCACACGTTAGCCTAATTAGTAATTAGATACCTTTATGCTAAGAACCGGGCTGTCCTCCTGAATCAAAAAATCCCACACATCTAAAGTTCCATCAACTTTGATCAAATAATACACAGAATAACGCGTAGTACTCCATGCACCACCCGTTAAAAAGTCTCGATGACCGCTAAAAAACATCGAAGCAAAGTCATAAAATTTTCTAAATGTTCCATTATCCCATTCAAACTTACGGTGTCCATGCTATGCAGGATTCTCTACAATCTTCTGACCAAATTCTCGAAGTCCAATCGCCGACTGTCAAAAAGTTTTTTACGAACGTTGGGTTTCTTTCCAGACTTATAACCGGTCCATACTGGGCTCTAAATCTAGTTGCAATCTTTTTAGCGGGCGTTTTACCTTTACGATTTCCTGATATTACAATACCTAAATAACGAAACTATTTTATCATTGTTTTATTATATAATCTATTTCTTTTTCATAAAAATATATAATTAAATTTGTTATCGGATTGTTTCGTTAATTTATTTCTTGCATTTAAAATTCTATTTTTTATTACTTTAGAATTTTATGTTGAAATATAATTATTTAAGTTGTACCTAAACGTATAATTTGCTCAACAATATTTATTATACCGTTTTCCAAGCCACACATGAAACGCGTTCCCATAGAAGGTTCGAATTGAAGAGCCGAGATACCGGTAGCTTTGTCCACGTTTTGATTTTCTAGCTTCGATAAATCTATTACTAAAGTTTCTGTTGGAACTTGCAACTTTCTGGTATCCCACCACTTTATCTACAAACAAACAAGTATCCCGATATGCGGACTCATTGTCGATAATCGCTGTTGTTTCGAACAAGATTATACCTGTCCGTCTTTCGAGGCGCTAAAAAATTCGGTACCAGTCTTGGAATTAATCCATAGGGTTTTATCACAGGGATCTCTATGGCTAAACTCAACCGAACTGATGTCTATTATTTCTGGACCTCTTCTAAGGTCCCAACAACCCACCTGTCCAGTTATCAGACCACCTATCAAGGTGTTGCTATCCTTAGGGCTGTACTCCAACGTCAGAATCGGACAAAAAGGTTTTAACGTTATGTAAGGATTATTTGGATTCTCTATGGAGTAATTTTTCATAAATATACCAATCAACGATCATTCAGCTACACCGTTTAATTAACGCACCTACTTCCCAGATGTACGACGTGTAATTGCTGCTAAAAGTTTTTTTGAAATCAACGTTGCAATAACTAGCCGCAAAACGATTACCTTGATCTGGCGACCACGACAAATGAGTAATCTGCCGTTTCATCGTTAAAGGATCACGGTAAACGTTCACCGTGCGCGAGAAAGCTCTTTGTATTAGCGGGATCGCCTCCACATCAACGAAGTATTCTTCGTAAATGTTGCAAGCGTTGTTTTGCAAAATACAGTGCTCCATCGACTTGAAAAAAATATTTCTTATAAATAATTCTAAATGTATAAGATAATTCCAATAACTTTAAAAGAACGACAAAAGAGATATTTACAGGTAGCAGCTGAAGCATTGTATGAATATACAATTCATCTTTTTCGATCTTACGTCTATATCTGACTGTCTGTTCTAAATCCTTCATATTTATGTCCTTCGGCCAGCCACCCTCATAATGAAACATTTTATTATCCCTATACGTTGCAGTAGTTGTATTTACCTTAACACATACACTATGTATAACAATTTTGCTGTACGTTTTTCCCACAAATGTCATTAATTAAAATATTTCTACCTCGTGAACTGCAAAGACTTTACTGCATTGCGTAGCGTGTGTCACGGGATCCATTCTAACATAATTACTCATCAACGCTGGATTCGATTTGATTTCCACTTCTGTTTTGTCGAAGTCAGAGAAATTGCATCTCTTCCCGAAATGCATTCTCTTCTTCGTATAAGCGTACTCCAAATCCATTGTGTACAAAGATAACTTAAACTATATGTAAGGAAATACACAACTCTAGGATAATTTCGCCTTTACAATTTTAATGTTGGATATCAAAATTTTATTTTCCACGCTTATTAAGAAATACTTAATGGCACAAAATGTTTTGATTGTTAACACAATAATAGTCATAAAAGTCATAACAAAAAATACATTTCTGTATAGTTCCAGTCTATGATTTCACGAAAAGTGGATAGTCAATTAGGCAGTACACATATAGTGTGGTTACTATAGTAACAGTGAATATATCATGGTATGAGACTTAGCTGTCGGTCTTCACTAAAACCGGTACTTCGGGATTTAAACCTTGGTAGAGAATGAACAATGTTTTATATGCTTGTGCGTAATCTGCGCTTGCAGGCTCGATATTAGATTTAACGATGGGTATCGCGTCGCGTAAAACAATTTCGATTAATGTATTCAGATACTTGGTGCGCTGTAACTTTTGTATTACTTCATACAGCGATAATAATTGCTTCTTGTTACAGTATCTTATATTGTGGGCTTTAGAAAAATCTACAATAAAATTTAGAAATTGAGATCAGCGTGATTAGATTAATTATATTAAAATTTTTAATTGTGATTAATATACAAAATGTGAATTTACTTTTAAAGTGCTCCATACAGGAAATATTCCAAATGCCGTTCGACATCCATCCTCTTGTCAAAGAAAGATTATATGGGTCTTTTGTAATCGGTTTTGCAATATTCTTAATATCATACTGCTTAAAAGAGGCTCCTACTTCAGTGGAAGCAATTTTCATGTCATTGGACTGACTCGAATCTAAATCTTCAATAAGAATGCTACTAAATACAGTTATTGATTTTGCTACCTTATTAAGCAAATGAGGCTCTTCTAACAAATGATCTTGCATGGTTATATTCTGCAACAATTATAAATAATATAAGAAATCGGTCTTGTATAATTTCAACGCTTTTCCTCCTTCCACTTACATTACTTACCATCGCTTCGAATTCTTTCAGAAAAGTATTAACTGATTTTTGAAACCTATCTTCATTAATATCATTCGAGCTATCTGCTTCAGTTTTTAAAAACGCATAATAAGTTCTCAATACTTTAACAATTTCATTCGGCATATTAAAATGTCGGAGCGCTTCCACTACATCTATCGCTACAATTTGTTCTTGAACGGACTGATATGCATTATTTCCATGCAATGGACAATCGTTTTTAATATTCCCGGGAGAAGAAATTGATGTACTCTCGGTAGATTGTCGTGTCATTTTATGTATCAAATCGCTTAATTCAGCAGCTGATGCTTCAGGCGGTAGAGACTTTCTTGACTGAAATAAAAATGCGCAATAAAAAATTACATAAAAAATTTTTCAATTCTATTATATCTGATAATATTGTACGACTGCATATCATTGCTGCATACATTTTGCGGACTATCATCAGGATCATCGCCAATTTGTAATTTATTTGCTGAACTTATCTTCTTAATGTTTAATTTATTTTCCAGTATAAAATTCTTTCCTTTCTGTAACTTTCCTGCAACTTTTGCAGATGACGTCTTTGATTGTATCGTTTCAATTGCGTTGCTTCGCTTTGTACCGCCGATAGATTTTTTCGTCACGACAGAAGTTATTTTATCGTTTTGAAATGCACTTGATCTTTTACAATGGGAACTTTTAGCGGTATTTGTTTTTTGCATTGTAACGTTGCTTTTTGAGATTTTCTTGCGATCGCTAGTCGACGCAGAATTGGATAGATAAATATTTTCAACTGTATCTTTTCTTAAAGGTTTTTTTTTCGATGCTACGTTAAGTTTCAATTTTTCCCGCAATTCTTGCGCAAGAACGATCGCTCTGCTTATCCCCGCGGCGATCTCCTCAGCTTCATTTTCATTCTATTAATTAATAATAAATAAAACAAATTCATATCAATCTATGCATATAAGCAAAACATAAATTAAAAGTAAAAATACATAAATTAAATCGCGAATACTTTTTTACAAATACAAATGTTTTCGTTGGTTCTTTTTTCAATGACGGTTTTCATCTGCCACGGTTTTAAAACGAATGCTGCTTCGTCACAATCTTTTCTCAATATTTCCTTCACTTCCTCTGTGATTAACAAAGTATTATGCAACAGTTCGTATAAATTTGACAAATTCAACGTACGGTCCATTACTCCTGAATGTCTGCGATCCTAGTAAAAGAAATATAAACAAAACATTATCATAGAAAAATAATGAGATATGAATAAGACAAAAAGAAATGTGCCACTCAAAGCGTTAATCACATTAACAAATTATATAATTATTGCCTAAGGCAACAAGATAACCATAAATACCTGTTTATGTGAAATGTAATGGTTGTGTAACCATCCATCATTTTTTTCACTTATCCATTATGTAAACATATAAAAATTGACTACCGGATATAAGTTGAACACGCGAGCTTGAGAAGTCATACGTATAGAAAAAATGTTAAAAATTATATTTATATATACAATGTATTGTATACAGCATACATTTATATATATATAGAAATGGTAATAAAAAATAGACGTAAACCAGAATAGAATATATATAATCTTCATATATTAAGAATAATATGCATATATA